TACTTTTAGTTTTTCACACACCATATGTATCTATATACTTTTTAATTTTCTGTGCTCTCTGGAATCAAACCCAGGGTTCTGTTCATGCTACATAAGTACTCTACCACTGAGCTATACCCTCAGACCCAATATGTCCAATGTGAGGTACATAAATCTTTTAACAAAACAAAATAAGTGAAGACATATGATACTACTTGCCAGTTTATATACATATGTAATGAGGTCTATATTAATTTGAAAGTCTGCTGTTAAAAACACAACATTACATTTGCATGTAAAAATTTTATATTTATCATTATTAATATATATTAGGGTTTATCTGGTACTTCCTTTATTCAAGATTAACAAGAAGAAAGTCTTGCTGAATATATAGATACATATATACTTGCTGAATATGCAAATATATATTCAGCACACACGCATATATGTATATATACATATATATGCACATTTTTGCTTCTACTGGGAATAAAAGATAACATTGTGATGTCCCTAAAATCAGCAGCATATTGATCTTCATTTCACTTCTAAAATGCAGTATTATGGGTGTGTAATTGCTTAAGCCAACATAACACAAAAATAGACGCTGAAAGCTTACCTGGTAGATTCTAAACCCGTAGCTGCGCAGCACTGGCTGGGTTCCAGCAGAGAAGAGAGGCCGGGGGTCAGAGGCGACCTGTGAGCTGAGATTCTTGAAGGGCTGTTCTCACCACTCTAGTCGGTTCCATCGCTATCCCATTACATAGCCATGGAATACTTGAAGATAATTATTTTATAGAACGAAATGGGGACGATTTAAATAACTAGAAAATCACCTAGATCATATAGAGTTGGGAGCTTTGGCATATATATTGTTTATTTTCTTCATTTGGGGAGGTGGAGGAGGAGGCGGGGTCTGGCTTTGTAGCCCAGGTTGTCTGTGGTCTTGAATCACAGTAGATCCTCCTGCCTCTACCACCTGGGTGCCCGGCCGCCTCTGCAGCCTGCAGTGCAGCTCAGTGCGGGTTAACGAGCTGTCATTGGTTCTGCTCAGTTTGCTGTTGCTAGTTCTGCTGAACGTGACGCTGTTTCTGAAGTTGTCAAAGATAGAACATGCCGCTCAGTCCTTCTACCGGCTTCACCTCCACGAAGAGAGATCTTTAAAGTAAGTTCCCCTCCCCAGCCCTGCCTGTTGTTGCCACCTGTTTCTTTGTCACTGGAAATTTAATTTTAGGAATTCTGGTCTGCTATATCTTATAGTCACACGTGCTTAGTTTTATTTTACTTTTTATTTTATTTTTTTGTGGTGGTGGCAGCTTTGATGTGCTTTGTTTGCAATCCATGGGACACAATAATTTCTATAAATAAGGTCAGCAGCTATTTTCACCATTTTTAGAATTTTTTTTCTCTTCCAGTTTAGTCGCTGATAGGTTCTCAAGAACAGAAAATATTCAAAAGAACAAAGATCAGGCTCACCGTTTAAAAGGAGTGCTCCAAGATTCCATAGTGATGTTGGAACAGGTAGGCCAGTCCTCAGGGGTGTGAATGGGCAGGTCCTCAGCTGGGCTGTCTTTAGATGGACCTTCTCTATGGTTGCTTAGTAACTCTCCCCTGCCTCCTCATCATTCTCACTTCTCTCTCATGCTTTCCTCTCGGTGGATGACCATGCCTTGTAAAGAAGGGAAACTTTCCTTCTTTCTCAATAACCCCATCTATAAATCGTGCTGTGCTGAACCCCTGTGCTCTTCGTGGCTAGGTCTAGGAACATCTTGGCTCAGCATTATGCACTCCACACTTAGCATTGTGTCCAGCATGAAACAGACACACCAGGTTTGTTGAATGAACACATGAGCGAATACAGTAAGGAATAAGATATGTTTCTTGGTCTCATGTTGCTTTTAATTTTATCAGAGAAGTCAATTTTTGTTTTTAAAAGGAGGATGGAAATCTGAGGTAGGATAGTGATCCCGGAGTTCAGAGACAGGGTCTTCGGGAAACTTCTATGGGGTCGGTGGTATGGGGAAGTTTTAGGACTGTGGAGAGGATGCTAGATGGCTTAGCCGCAGGGCTCGAGGTGTTGAGGGGAGTGTGAAGAGACCACTGAGCCTTGAGAAACCTCTAGGAAACCAAGGCGTTCCCTTTAGATAGTAAGACAGACTTTCTCGAAAGAACTGCCCTCATTATGGAAAATTATTTTAAGGTGTGTTACTCTTGTTAATGAGGCATTTGTTTGACTCCGTGAAGCTCTGATTCTTCACCTGTCTAAAACACCTGATGGTTCAATAAAGAGCTGAATGGCCGATAGCCAGGCAGGAGAAAGGGTAGGCGGGGTTGGCAGGCAGAGAATAAATAGGAGGAGACACCTGGGAAGAAAGACAGCACAACAAGAGCACAAGGAGAAGGAGGAGGACATCAGGGGCCACTCACCCATATAGGCAGCCTTGCGGTCAGAGTGAAAATAAGATACACAGAAGAAAAGGAAAAAGCCCAGAGGCAAAACGTAGCCCGGGATAATTTAAGAAAAACTGGTAAGAAACAAGTCAAGCGAAGGCCAGGCACTCAAAACTAGGACTAAGCCTCTGTGTGGGATTTGGGAGCTGGGTGGTGGGACCCCCCAAAAGTCAGACCAAAAAGAGCCAAAAGAGTAAGAGCAAATACACACAACGAGACCCTCCGGCACCTGTTCATGCAGCAGAATCAGGTACTGGATGGTCAAGTTCTATTTGAGCATCAACATAAAGAAAAAACCTTTGGAGTGAAGTAGCAGTAAAAATTGCAGTCTGAATTTTTGGTCATGTTGTTTGCAGCTGAAGAGCTCACTCGTTATGCTTCAGAAGACCTTCGATTTACTAAACAAGAACAAGACTGGGGCGGCTGTGGAGAGCTAGCGCCGAGCTGCGGAAATCGGACACCTGGACCTGGAAGGGACCGAGGATGGAGGCTGTCACTGTCACGAGAACAGTTCTGATATTTTATGTCTGGATTTCTACTAGGAAAGCCTTATTTAAATAACACTTACCAAGTGGTTTCTCTCCAATAGCCTTAAGACTCTATCTTTTCACTTCTTATAGATATTTTTAAGCTGTGAATTTCTCCAGTGAACCATGAAATATATTTTGGAATTGAAATCTGTGACACAAAAGGGAAGGGAGACACCCTGGGCACGGCGGCATTTTTTCCTATGCTGAGGCTTGTAACTTGACCTTCTAAATTTATCTGTTAGCACAGAGGCCCTGTGTGCCCAGTGGTCTGTGAGTTGTGTTCATCACTGAGTTTAAGAGCCCCAAAAGCTACAGAAACATTTTTTTTTTTTTTAGGCACAAACATTCCAAGTTTGTATCTTTAAATGCTACAGTCTCTTCATTGATTTGGCATGCAGGGTCAGTGGTCAAACCCTTTGAAACTCTGTGTTGTCTGAAAGATTCATGGGCCATGTTGTATCTTAATGAAGGAACACACACACACACACACACACACAATCTTATATGTACCAGAGATGAGGTGTAGGATACCTCAGAGTGAACTATTTTTAGTTTTAGAAGCCAGAAGATTATGATAAAATCTGGGCATTTCATGAAAGAGCAAATGAATCCATGAACTATGCTTGGATTCAGCCTAGCAGGGCCCGATGATGGAAGTGACCCACCTGGTTGAAAATAATCCATCCTTTTTCAGTAGCTGCTATATAGTTTCATTCTCTACACATGTGTGTAGGCTGTGTCGTTGGCAAGTTACACGCTGGGCTACAATAAAGACTGTGGGGTCCTTGCACACTGGCTGAAGTTGAGAGGCACAAACTCGGGATTTCAGGAAAGCTGCTCAGGCAGTTGCCTCAGCACAAGGGGTTTGTGAAAATCATGACGTTGTGACCTGACATCAGCTCCAATCCCCAGGATTTAGGAAAAGTCTAGGACATAATTGTTTTGTTCTCTAGAGGCCTTTCTTCGTATATATATTAGACAGGGCTTCTCAACAGCTCTGGCTGTCCTAGAACTCACTATTGTAGACCAGGCTGGCCTCGAACTCACAGAGATCTGCCTGCCTCTGCCTCCCGAGTACTGGGATTAAAGGTGTGAGCCTCCACTGCCTGGCACATATATTCTTATTATTTGAACAACCATTACCTTTAGTGCAATATGTCACCAAAGTCAAATGGCATTGCTGACAACAGTTTTTGATATGCCTGTTAAAAAAAAAAAAGAAAATACGGACTGGAGGGAAGTGGGTTTCTCTGGATGAACCCCAACTAATCTACCTGGAGGGGGTGCAGAGTGGTAACTCCTGTTCGTTTTGTTCGCTTTTGTTAAGGACATACAAAGTTTCTCGCTGAGAGCAGGAGTGACTGGATCAGAAATCTGAAATGGTTAAATTTAGAAAAATGTTAACCGTCGAAGTGAATGTTTTTTTGTGGTTTCTCTCAAACTACTTTATAATATACCTCAAGGATTACCAACGTTACTTTGTAGATAAAAGACTAAATATGTATGCAGACTTAATAAATCTGAATGTTATGTAGTCTGACTTCAATAAAACCCAAAATATCTAAGTTGTAATTTTTCTTCTGCTTCTGCTTAAAAACCAAACCTAGAAAGCCTGAGGTAGGCCCACAGTTCTCACTGATTTGTGCAGCTATAAAACCCAAAGAGGACTCTCTGGGCAATTTCATTGCAAATATGCACACTACTGAAGCAGAAGTACCAGAGAGGCCTGACTGGAATGCAGACCCAACCTCCAGGACTCAAGAGCCTGAGCAAGTTGGATAAGCCGGGACTTGGGAGCAGCAGCTGGCCTAAAGGGAGGTGGGCGACTAGTGGGGTGGCACCCCAGAACACGGCGGTGCAGATCGAACCCAACGCCTGTTGCGGGCGCAGGAGGACGGCTGGTGGCCGGCCAACTCCCGCAGCGCGCAAATGCCTAGGTCCCATCCCTTAGCCCGGCTGCACCCCGAGGGCCCGGCGCAGGTGCGGGGTGGCCCGGAGCGCGGCGGGGGAGGGGCCTCGTGGGCAGGCGGCGCACGTGCGGGGCGGCGGGATCCCGGCGCCGGGGGCGGGGCACCCGGAAGCGCGCGCCGACCTGCGGAGCGGCGGCCGGGGGCGACTGGATCGCAAGGCAGGCGCGCGCACACCGGCGGTGCAGACAGGTGGGCGACTCCACCCTGCACGCCCGAGCCGGCGGTGCTGGGTCCCAGACGCTGCCGCGCCCAGAGGAGCCGGTCCTCCTCCCGGTCCCCGCCTCCGTCGGAGGGCAGGTAACTTCTCAGCCAAGGTCATTCTCCAGGCCCGCCCACGCCCTCGGAGCGCTGGTTTAGAGTGGGCTGGACGGAGACCTCGGGGCTGCCGGGGACTCCTGGCAGCCCGGGGCGGGTGGATGGTTGAAGCGCCGAGGCGTCGCTGCCTGCACCTGCGAGGGTGAGTTTCCACGGCGCACAGCCTCGGGGTGGGGACCGCCCGGCTCTACCCAGCCGGCACCCGCAGGTGAACTGGGCCGCCCTAGCCCTGCTGTCCCGGGCCGCGTGGTCGGCTGTCGCCATGGGAACGGTTGGTACCCAGGTGCTTCTGGGCTAGGAAGGGAGGTGAAGACACTCAGAGCCCCAGGAGTCAAGGAGCCCTCTTTCAGGCCACGCGGAGCCGGGAAAACCTGATGGAAACAGGACCCCTCCCCCCCTTTCTTTTCATTTTTTTATTGCTCAGGCGTTGGCGTTAATCACAAGCGAGGATGTGTTTACAGGATGTGAGTTGAGTTGTTGCCGCCTTTGCCTTCTGAGAGCTTCTGATGGCTCATGGTGACAGGTGCAAACACTGAAGGGCAGTATGAAGCCAGTAAAAAAAAAGAAAACCGAAGAACCTGAGTTGGAGCCCCTGTGCTGCTGTGAGTATATTGATCGAAATGGGGAAAAGAACCACGTGGCTGCTTGTTTGTGTGATTGTCAAGACCTCGATGAAGGCTGTGACAGGTAAGCATACAGTTTTCAGATGCTGACCCAACTGCTGCTGTTGAGATGTACCGTGTATTCTTTCAGGGTTGCCTTCCAGAGTGCTAGAATTTGCTCTTGGTTCTATTCCAAAGGATCGAAAATAGAGAATAGTTTTTGATGTCGTGTGAGGATTTTGTAAAAATGAGGTAGGTAGCAGTCCACGGCTGTCCAGTTCAGTTCTCGAGGACTTGAACAGTTTTCTTCTTACAGGATGAGCATGGGGAGAACACGCAGAACAAGGGAGAGTAGGCAAATTAAATGTGTTAAATAAAGAGCACAAACCAGCCCAACTGCAAGTTTAAATGAACAATCCAGGAAGTTGTTACATTTCCAGTGGTCTTAGCGGAGCCCATGAAAGGCATCATTCCCGCTAGGTCACGTGGGTCTTGGAGGTTGAAAGATTGTTTTCTGCTCTTGGTTCACCCCTTGTTTCCAGGGAGAAAGGTCATGTATGCCCCACAGAGAGGACTGTTTTATGTAAGCAACAATACCATCTTGTCTGTACTGTTGTCTTATCTTTGGCCTTTACCTTCACCAGGATCTCATCGATGGAACTTGCTATCTAGAGGGAGACTTTTTAGCGTTAGTGAAAACCATTTTGTATCGAGCGACAGTGAACTGGTTTTCACCATTTTTTTTTCTAAATCTTTATTTTTAAACGTCTACTTATGGAAAGCATGATGTGCGAGGAAGAGGGGTGTTGGGGACACACTTTTCCCAGAAGCAGCCCCTTTTGGTTACAGAGTCACTGTAGGTTGTTAGTCTAGCCATGAAAACGCTCTCCCTGGGGACCACAGCACTCTCCTGTCAAGCTTCACTCTTAAGCCCATAACCTCTTTATAATTGTTCCTTGTCTTTTTCTATAGTCTTTTTAAATAGGTAGCCTTAAATATAGCTTCTTTAGACTTAGTCTGAAATCCATACTGAGAAAATAGAGCACTTTGCACTAATGGCTGGAGAAACTGTCACTCAGGGCTGTGGCTTCTCCATTAACTTTGCTGACTCTTGGTCTCTTCTGGCCCTCGAGGCCTGGAGACAGCTGTGCTTCCCGCTTTCCCCTGACCCTGCTGCTCTGTGACTCCAGGTCATCATTTCCCACTCACTTTACGGTTCAGACCTGCTCAAAAGAACTGTCTAAAGTTATTTTTGCATAACCTACCTTAACGTTCTTGCTTGTCTTAGTCCACTTAGGCTGCTGCGACCAAATCCTCCAGAGTGGGTACAGATGGTAGATGAGGAAGCCTGCAGTTCTGGAGGTGGAGAAATCCAAGGTCAAAGGTGCTGGCAGATTTAGTATCTGGTGTGAACCCTCTTCCTCATAGATGGCATCATCTTGCTACATCCCCACATGGCAAAAGGGATGGATGACCTGCCTGCCTTGATCTTTTGTGTGGATGTTAATCTCATTCCTGCTCCACCCTGTTGACTTCATCACTTCCTAAGAGCCCTGCCTCTTAATAAGATCCTATAATAAGATGTGGATTAGGTTTGAACTAAATGAACTTTAGTGGGCCACAAATATTTAAATCTTAGCAGTCTACCTCTGGTCCCACCAATGAGTATCTTTACAATCAAAAGACGTTCCTTACATCCCAACAGCCTCAAATGTTTAATTGTGCAAGTGTCGGCATAGACATGTTAAGTCTGGACAGTGGTCTGAGTGGCACTGTCTAACCCATACAGTGTCCTTCAGCTTCAGGCCTGTGGGTAACAGGCTGTGGGCAGAAGGGAGGCAAAGAGCACTTCCTGCTGCTGCAGAGGACCAAGGTTCAATTCCCACTATACACATGACAGCTTACAGCTGCCTATAATTCCAGTCCCAAGGGATCCAACACCTCCTCTGACCTCAGTGGTCACGAGGCACACACGATACACATATATACATGCAGGCAAAACACATGTACACATAAACAGAGAAGAAATAACAGTTACGTACTTTGAAAACACAATAGTGAAACATTCATTGAAAAGACATTTCCATGGCAAAAAATGAGAAATGGGAAATGGGAAAGAAAAAGGGGAGGACAGGTCCCATTCCCACAGGGCAAATGACAAGTCTTTTTCTGTTTGTTTTTTTGGAGACAGGGTTTTTCTGTGTAACAACGCAAGTCTTAACTATAAGCCTACCTTCCAGACACACAGATCTGAAAGTTGGGCTCCTGTGGGTGCAGCTCACGACTCAGTTCTCATGGGTCAGAGTCTCGTTCCTGCACAGGGATGGTGTGCTGCTAGGTCCACCATTCTGGGGTCTTGGTCAGTTATTAGCCTGCAGCTTTACCAGGCATTGCCTAGTGAGGTTCTGTGCCGTGGTCCCAGGCCCATGAGTACACAAGACAACACCCTAGTGAGGACTTTGTGGGGTGACTCCACTCTGTGGCACTTCTTAGCCTTGGCCTTGATGCACTCTGGAACATTCTTTGACACTTATATGCATATAACCATGTCCCCACAACTCCTGTATTCTGTGAGGCTGTAGAATTGGGAACATACGATGCCACCCAAGTTTACCATTGGTGTCCTTGAAAGTAGTGGCCGCTGCAATCTCCACTGTACCTGGCTTTTCAGGAACCACACCTGGGGTTTCTGTAAGACACTACACCAGACTGTAGGAAGCAGAGACTTTATGTGACTACCAGTGAGCCCTGAGATTTCAGGGGTGTTCTGAGCCACTTGCTCTCAAACCATGGTGCCCTCAAGGCCCAAGCATTCTAAGCTTATGATAGGAATACAACCGCAGTCTCAACTGCTTTAAGGGTCATCCTCCCATTGTCTTGATTAACAGCACAGGGCTGAGCCATTGTCATCTGATGATGGACTCTTTTCACACAGGCTTTCCCAGCTGTTATTGTGAGCTGCCATGTGGGTGCTGGGAACTGAACCAGGGTCCTCTAGAAGAGCAGTCGGTGCTCCTAACCACTGAGCCATCTTTCCAGCCCCCACAGTTGTTATTGTATAAACAAGCTAAGAAGGCTGAGAACTTTCCAGATCTTGAGGTGCCGTTTGCCCTTTGGTTTTACATTGTGTCTTTTGCTTTGGTTTTGTCTGTTGGTTTTCTGAGACATTTCCAAGACAGGGTTTCTCTGTGTAGCCGTGGCTGTCTTGGAACTTGCTCTGTAGACCAGGCTGGCCTCGAACTCACAGAGACTGTCCTGCCTCTCATGTGCCACCACTGCCTGGTTGTAAACATGATGTCTGTAAGGTCATGTGTTGTATGTGGATGTACACGTGTGGGCTCCTTGTGGACAGTGGTTGGTGTCAGGTGTCTTTCTGAGTTGTTTTTCTGCTGTATTTTTTCAGACTGTGCCTCTCACTGAGCCTAGGCTTCCTCAGTTGGCCAGACTAGCTGACCAGCAATCTCCAGGAATCTCCTGTCTGCAGCTGCCTGCCCAGCAGCACTAGGAATATAAGCTCACACAACCATGCCTCTCTGTTTTTATAATGTATGTGCTTGTATAGCCAATGTATGTCCCATGGTTTTTATGCATAGGTCAGAAGACAACCTGCCAGAGTTGGTTTTCTCCTTCTACCCTGTGGACCCTTGTAGTATGGAGGTCGCTTGTGTTTTTCCCGGCTGCCCAGACTCCCGAAATAACCCCATAGAAACTGTATTAATTAAATCACTGGCCTATTAGATCTAACTTCTTGTTGGCTAGCTTTTACATCTTAATTTAACCCATTTCCATTATTTTATATTTTACCATGAGGCTCGTGACTTACCGGCAAGGTTACAGCATGTCTGTCTCTGGCAGTGGCTGCATGGCTTCTCTCAACTCTGCCTTCTCCCAGCATTCAGTTTAGTTTTCCCTGCCTAGCTCTGTTCTACCCTATCGCAGGCCCCAAACCAATGGTATTCACAGCATAACTCAAGTCATCTGCCATGGTGGCAAGCACCCTTATCCGCTGGGTCATCTTGCTAGCCCCTTGTCCAGATTTTCACATGGGTGCTGGGGATGCAAACTCAGCCCTCTTGCTGTCATGCAAATACTTTGTCAACTGAAGTTACCCTTATTAGCCCCTAAAGTCACCATTATTATTATTATTAATTATTGCTTGTATATGTATTTATGTGTAGCTGAAAGAAGATGTGTCAGATGTCTTATGCTATAGATCCACCACCCTAATTTCTGAAACAAGTTTTCTTCACTGAATCTGGAGCTCACTGACTGGATAGAGTGTATAGCCAGTAAACTCTGGAGGTCCACCTCCTTAGTGCTGGGGTTACAAACACATACCATCACACCTGCCTTTTTACACAGGGACCGGGAATCTAAACCCATGTCCTCATGTTTGTATGGCAAGCGCTTTGCCCACCGAGCCACCTCCCAGCCTCTCATATGAACATAAGCATCCAAGAGAAACTGTGCAGAAACCCTGGACACTTTGATTAGAGGTTTCTATCAATATTTAGTCCCATTACCCTTCCACAAAACTCTAGGACACGAAGCCATCTGCTTCATACATGGTGTGTTCGTGCCACGTCTTCATGCGGTGAAATCAATAGGCTCCTTTGGCCTCCTTTATAAAGGGTCTAATCCCATTCATGAGGACTCCTGTCATGACCAAATCACCTCTTACAAGACCACCCCCCTGAAGGCCTCACTGTATTGTTGACTCTGACCTTAAGTTGCCGGGATCAGTAATCCTCCTGCCTCAGGCCTTCATGCACCTGTAAATAAAGGTGTGAGCCACCATGCCCACCAGCCTCATCACCTCGTGCTCATGTGTTGAGGATTAGGTTTTAAAAGTGGAGCATTTAAACAGCAGCCTGCCTAGCTGTGCAGAGTCAGCAGACACAGTTCTTTTTAGTCCCTGCTTATGTGGCCACCTGTCTGTCACAGCCTGGCTCCTCCGGGGCGCAGGGCAGGCTTTGAGCTGCATCCGTTTCTCTTGGCTGCAACAGCGCCTTCCTTCTTTACCAGCTGACCAGGCTAAGTACAGACCACACCGTTCCGCTAGGCCCCTTTGGTGTCCGTCCCCTGGGCTTTTCCAAGTTCATTGGAAGAGCACTGCCACTTATGTAATACTTTTTGAATTTTCACTGTCAACTTTTACAAAAAGATTCATTTGAGTGTCTGCCTACCCACTCAGGTCTAGACATTTGTGTGGAATATGTGCATATACCTGTGTATTTAAGGAAGAATGCTGGTTGTTACAGTTATAAACATCATCTTCCTATTCAAAAAAAATGATACTTGAATCTGAAAAGCTTGGCTTAGCAGCGAGGGAATGAAATGTTGGCTTTTAGTGTTCTATCATTTATGCTGCTGTTTGACATCTGGGGCCCTGTAGTTTTTAATTCACCAAATCCCTGTGAAGCACATTGTTCTGCTCTCTCTGAATAGATGGCTTACCTGTAAATCAATGCGGCCAGAGACTTGCGAAAGAATCACAGATACAATTTCTGATCGCCTCCGAATTCCTTGGCTTAGAGGAGCCAGAAAAGTTAATATTAGCATCGTCCCTCCACTCGTGCTTTTGCCAGTTTTCCTTCACGTGGCTTCCTGGCATTTCCTGCTGGGGGTGGTGGTTCTGACCTCCCTTCCCGTGCTGGCGCTCTGGTACTACTACCTCACTCACAGAAGGAAAGAGCAGACACTGTTTTTCCTCAGCCTTGGACTATTCTCACTGGGTTACATGTACTATGTGTTCCTGCGGGAAGTGGTCCCCAAAGGGCGGGTAGGGCCCACCCAGCTGGCTCTCCTTACCTTCGGGTTATTCCTAATACTCTTAGCCTTGTACCGAGCCAAGAAGGATCCAGGCTACCTCAGCAATCCAGCTTGCAGTGACAAATGCCCCAGCAACAGCCAAATCGAATGCCTGATCAAAAAAGGGCAAGAGAAGACCAAAGGGTTCCCTGGAACAGATCCCTCAGGGAGCCTCAACAACCGCACGCTGAAGGATGATATTAAAGGCTCCTCCAGGGTGGCACTTGACAGCCCTGCCAAGGTGAAGGAGGACTGGTGTGCCAAGTGTCAGCTAGTACGGCCCGCCCGGGCATGGCACTGCCGGATATGTGGCATCTGTGTAAGGAGAATGGATCATCATTGTGTCTGGTATGTTGGAAAAATCTGGAAGCTCTGAAAATAAGTTCATAGGCTACCCATATTTGATCTTCCTCTGTGCTGTCCTGAAACGTCTCTTTCCCCAGTTTTACACCTTGTAGATATTTGTAGGCTGTGAGGATGTTCCCGCTTAGTCACCAGGTTCCTGAGTTTCACAGATTTAGTCCCTTCAATTTCCTGAAGGGATGAGCAGAAAAACTTTGGGAGTGGCTCCCCACCCTCCCCCTTTTCCTTCCAGTTTTTTTTTTTTTTTTTTTTTTTTTGGTGGATTGAAAAAAGAAGAATAATTTATCAGGGGCTGTGGAGATGGCTAAGTTCGTAGAATCCTTGCTATGCAAGCATGAGGACCCGGGGTCCCTCAGCATCCGAATACAAAGGCCATGTGCTTTCAATCCCAGCACTGGGAAGGCAGAGGCAGGAAGATCACTGGGGCTTGCAGGCCATCCCGTCTAGCTGGATTAGCAAGTTGTTGGTTCCATGAGAGACCCTGACTCAAAAAATATGGTGGAGAATGTTTGAGGAAGACACCAACATCAACCTCTGTTTCCACACGTAAGTGTACACACGTACATGCTCGCCTATGAGCACACGTGGTTCCTGTTTCCAGGTGACTACTGTTTTCTGGCTGTACACCCTTAATCATTTTTTTTGCAAACAGGGATTGCCATACACCATTGTAGTTGAGGTCTTATCAGATATCCCTTAATTGGTTTTCTGCCCGGAGATAGACTTTGTTTTGTACCTTCAAGCTGGCTGGTGGCAACAGGCCCCTCTGGGTGATGCTGAGCTGAAGGGAGCAAGCAGGACTCAGCTCTGAATGCTGTCAGCAGCAGGTGTGCGCCTGTGCTGCTCTCAGGGGCTCTGTCTAAGGAACTACACCTTAGGCCTGCAGAGAACGGAGAGAGTGAGCGCCGGAAATGCGGGGGGTGGGGGGGTTGGGGGTTAGGGGGGCATTGAAATGGCCAAGTGCATGGCCTTAGGACAGGGACACCTCTTTTCTGGGACTTGTCTTTAGGTGTAAAGGGTTGTTTTTAGTTTAACACATGAACTTTTCATTTATCCCCAATGGGTGCTTGTGCATGCAAGTGTGTTGGCCATTTCTAGGTCCTCGTTTGTAGAATCTGAAACCTCTGGCCACTGAGCATCCTGGGATGCTTGGGCAGAAGAGAGCTGACCTGTGTACCCTGCCTTCACAGAGGCCATGACATAGGGCCTTTTTTTTTTTTAACCCGACCTGCTTCCTAATATCCTGTTCTCCATGCTGTGCACAGTTTTAACTGCACCGAGTCCTTTTGTTGCTCTCATGCACAGTGAACAGTTTCCAGTTTTGTGCAGTGTTTCTGACTGCACCTTTAAAGTTTTCATACTGCTTAGTCTCAACTTTCCTCATATCTGGGTGATCGACCTCACTTATTAATATTTAGGATCAGGGCTTAGGGGTACAGCCCAATGGTAGAGTGTTTGCCTAATACGCACAGTGAACCAGGTTCAACCCCCAGTACTACATAAAAACCCATATGTGCCTATGCATGTTTATGTATGTATAAGCACTATATTTAGATGGGTAGATTTGCTAGCTGGGTTCTGCTTTTTTGATTAGTCATGGCTTCAGACTAAGGGATAATGGTTCTACTTTTCCATAGAGAATATAAGACTTTGTCACACAGCAGACAGGGTTTTATTTCCCTAAACTGAAACCTAAGATGACTTAGGGTTTCATAACTGAACGTCCTACTGTCTCTATTTTAAAGGCTTTCTTGTATATCGTGTGGGTTATATGAGACATTTTCAAATGTGTTTTCCCCCTCTGCTGTTTTGAGGATAAACAGCTGCGTTGGAGAATCAAATCATCAAGCATTTATACTTGCCCTTTTGATCTTCTTGCTCACTTCGGTGTACGGGATATCGCTGACCTTGAACACCATTTGTAGGGACAGAAGCCTCTTTACAGCCCTCTTCTACTGTCCTGGAGTTTACGCAAATTACAGGTAAGTTATGGAACATTCTGTTAAGAGGGTCAGTGAGGAAGAAATAATTGTTGCCAGAAACAGACCATTATTTGCTCTTAAGTTAGCTGTTTTCAGTCAAGCATAGGGCAGGCTTTGGAGATGCTGGACATCCCTAAAATTGCAATCAAAGCTGTGCAGTGGTGATGGGTGTGTTCTGGGATAATGTCAGAAGCATCATTGATGGCATATACCTTTAATCCGAGCACTTGGGGTGCTGAAGCAGGTGCATATCTCAGAGTTCAAGGACAGCTTGTTCTACAAATCACATTCCAAGACAGCCAGGGCCACATAGAGAGACCCTGTCTCAACAGGCAAACAAACAGGCTTTGGCTTTACCAGGAACTCCCGCAGCTGAGAAGTTCCTGTGTGCCTGAGGTCGCAGCTGGATCCTTTGGAGAGTTGCTCATATCTCTGTAACCTTTCTCTTCTCTCTAACCTCTCATGGTTTGTTCACCACTCATGATTACTGTGTTTTCTAGGTCAAGGTTCCCCAGGCATCATTAGGTGGGAACCCATTTATAAACTGCAGATTTCCATGCTCATGTGTGTCCTGCTCCTCCCACCCCCACACATGAAGGGTGCTCTTGCCCCCCCCAACAGTGTTCCCCCCACACACCAAGAATGTCTCATCACTCCCATCCCCCCACACCAAGGGTGCTCCTTGCCCATACTGTTTGTTCCTTCCCCCTTCCCTCAGCATGGGCGCTCTATGGCCTCTGGTTTGGTTCTTTTCTTCCTTCTCACTCCTTGTTCTCAGAGCAGCTTCTGCTTCTGCTACCCAGACACCCTGTGTGTTGTTAGTCCTCATTAGTCTTTGCAGAGATCAGAGCTCCCTACTCTAGGTTTGGACATTGCAGGTATTTTAGAGAGATTATTAACCCTCTCTCCTTGTGGTAACTTTATACTTTAGACATATGGATAGTCACTCTGAAATTCTTGGCCAACACAAGGGTGATAAGTAATGCAAAGTGTCTGTTTGCTTCGTGGGGTGAAGGAGGTGCCCAGTCCCACCATTATGTCTCACCCCACTTTATGTGGTGATTGCTGTCCCCTCAGCTCATGGTGAACTTTCAGATTTGTAATCTGTGAGGTCCTGTTTAACTTCACACATGAAGAGTCTGTGGTTTCTTCCCAGCTAACTCTTCACCGTGCATGTGTAAATGAACATGGCCTGATCTTTGATTATTCTGAGAGACAGCCCCCAGCCCATAGTTTGTGAATGAGCCTTGAAGATGTTTTCCTGCCCTGTGTGATTTAGTTTGAAATATTAGGTTCCTATAGCTCTTTTTTTATTTTTGAAATTTTTTATTTAATTTACAAATGTCAAGTATATGTGGCTGCTCCCAGAGGCCAGAAGGGGGCATACAAGTCCCTAGAACCAGAGTCACAGGTGGTTTGAGCTAACTTACTAGGGTGCTGGGAACTGACCTCATGTTTTCTGGAAGCGCAGCAAGCACTCTGAAACCCTGTGCCATAGCTCCAGCCTGGCTCCTACATATACATAAAGGGCTGTTAATGTTGAGAGTTGTCCTTGTAGTACTCAGTTAGCGCTAGACTGTAGACAGAACATAGCCCTGTTCTTAGATTTCTTTCTCCAACTTCCTAGAGCACAGCAGTAATGACCTCCTGGAACCTCTATTTCCTCCTGAGTTAGACACAGCTTAGGAATTGCTCATTTATTGAACAAGTGCTACAAAGTATAATGAAACAGCCTTTGCTAAATATAACATGCTGGGAAACTATGTACTAAGAATCCAAAGGAAAATCTAAAAGGTTCAACTGGGCATTGGTATTCTGAAGCTACTGTGATATCCTCTAATCAGAGGAGAGGATGCTCAGGTCCTTACTAAAGAGTACAGATGTTCAGAAAGGCTTCCTTCTCCAACACAGCTCGGCTCTGTCCTTCACCTGTGTGTGGTACTCCGTGATCATCACCGCTGGCATGGCCTACATCTTCCTCATCCAGTTGATAAACATCAGCTACAATGTGACCGAGAGGGAAGTCCAGCAGGCCCTTCGGCAGAAGACGGGCCGCCGGCTCCTCTGTGGGCTCATCGTGGACACAGGCCAGTACAACAGGGGCTTCCTGCGCAATTGGTACCAGTTCTCCACCCTGGGCGCACACACTGCCCACGCCCCTGCTGAGGACATTGTCTGAAGTGCCTTCCGTGCAGCCTGAGGGATACTCCTTTCTCTGTCCTGTCCATTTCACACTTCGGTATCCACGAAGGGTTCATCTTCATCACCGTCTTCTCAGACGTGTAGGGCCGTGCTCAGGTTTGAAGACAGGACTGAAGAAAAGGTCATTTCCTCTGACTTCATAACTTAAGGGATATTGATACTGAAGCTGCAGGCGTAGAGCCGTTCCTTTCCGGTCACCTTCTGACTCAGTCACCAGAAGCTGTCAGGGATGTGCATTACTCAGGCACAGGCCAGTAGAAGGAGTTTCTGCCTGTTCATCTGAGGAGGAGTGTTCATAGGATAGTTCCTAGTCCTCCTCTCAGTTCTTAAGAGCCATATGACCCCTTGGTAGAGCGGCTTTCCCGAGTCTCAGGTTCCTCTGATGGGGGCCTCTGCTGCCTAGCTACCTCCTGGAGCAGCCATGAGGGCCATCTGAGGAAGGCCGTGAAGCAGCCTGTAGATCAGAACATTGAAGCCAATATTATTAAGACAATCGGTGTGTACAGTTATAGAAGTTCTTAGTGACAGACCTTTCTCCTCAGGACCGGGGGTGACAAGAGGCTCGATGCTGGTCATCTCGTCTTACTATCTACGCTGTGTGCAGTGGGCAGCAGTTTAAGTGACGAGTGTTTGCTGATGGATCATTTTAGATTTACTCTAATGCTAACAAACATTAATTTCTTTCCTCCTTCCCATTTCACCTGGTGAGGTGCTAGCACACTGGTGGGTGATGGTGGCTGGACGGGAGGAGACTGTCCTGGGAGAACATGCTACCCCCTCCTGCCTAGGGAGGCTGATTAATATCAAGGGCTTGATTTTTTATTATTCATGTATATCTAGTGCTGTAGGTTTATAGCACACAATGGGAACATGCGCCTGGCATGAGCTCTTGGGGTGACTGACAGCTTCCCACATCCACATTGCTGCTTGCTCCCCCTTCCCTACTGAAAGTGTCTAGGAGAGAAGAACCGGTATGTGCGCTTTCTGACAATGGACACCTGACTGCTCTTCCTAACTCCCGACGCTGCGCTGCTCCTCTGTGTCCCAGAGCTGTAACGTAGGAAAGACTGTGTGTTCCCGCAGAATGCGCTGTCTTTCTGCTCCTTCTTGACGTCTTTGGTTTTTACACATGTACTGTTCTGGGATCCCAGATCAAAGATAATTTCTGAGACCTTAAATTTGCCTTGGCCTTGTTGCTCAGAGATGGGAAACAGTGCTGCATTTTCCCTTTTGTGCCTGCTTGTGAGCGTTGAGAGGAAATACCACCACCTCTGGATTAGCCCTGTCCTTTGCAGCAGGGGCCACCCTTAGAGTCGCCACTAGCCAGGGCTCTCCTGAAGACAGGCGCCACATATTCATCCAGGGTTGTCATTGCTCTCCCCAGAGATCTATTGTTAACGAACACTAGACTCCATATTCTACTGGGGTTCACTAGAGAGAGCCTGGGGGTGTTTGCAGTTTCTTCAGCGATGCCTGTCCCTGGCATAGAGTCAGACACTCATTTAGAATGAAAGTTGGCTTGGATACAACTAATTTCTGTGTGGGTTTTAGGTAAGAGAGATGGTAGTAATGTCAGACAGTCTATGTGGGCAGAAATTGGTAGTTTTCATGTCTCTTGAATGCCAGGTATATAGCCAACTCTGAATGTCTGGCTGCTGCCAACATTTATAGAAATCATATAGTCAGTATTTGTAGCCTGCCTCGTTTCCAGCAGCAGTGCAGATGTGATGGTGAGTGCTGCAGCAAGACCCGTCACTGGGAGAGTGGGGATGACCACTGCCTTCCTCAGTTTGCCATCAAGGGCCAGTTCCCCGCCTGCTGTTGGGAGGACTCATTTTCGGCTCTTTGGCTCACTGGAATGAAATGAAGATGCTTAGGTTTTCTTTTTAGATTTTCTTGTGTGTGTGTGTGTGTGTGTGTGTGTGTGTGTGTGTGTGTGTGAAGGCCAGAGAGCTCTCTTAGAGCTGGAGTTACACGCATCTGTGATCTGCCTGCTGTGGGTGCTGAGAACTAAACTTGGCTCCTCCGGAAGAGCAGCCTGTGCTGCTAACTGCTGAGTCACCTCTCTAGCCCCGAGTTTAAGTTCCTGGTGAACTGATGGGAGGGTTTCAGAAAGTCAGCCCTGTGAGAAGATCCTTGTTTTGTGGATCTTTCAGCCTTCCCATTCACTCTTCCCTACTGAAAGTGTCTAGGAGAGAAGAACTGGGTTTGTTCACTTTCTGACAGTGGACACCTGACTGCTCTTCCTAACTCTCGATGCTGAGCTGGAACATAGGAAAGACTGTATGTTCCTGCAGAATGGGCCGTCTTTCTGGCAGAGATGGGAGATTAATATGAGGAAAACTCCCTCTTGATGTGTTTGGTTTTTACACACATACTGTTCTGGGATCCCAAAGATCAAAGGTCATTTGTGAGACCTTAAATTTGCCTTGGCTTTGTTGCTTCATAGAGGGAAAGCAGGAAATACATACTCAGCCTTCTGAAGGGCTTGTTTTTAGAAGACATTACACCAGGGGCTGTCTATAAGCAGCTTCCGCTAGGCCCCAGGGTAGCTTTGGCATATTGTAGTAATAGGAGCAGCGGGGCTGCATCCCCGGCACCCGGCCGCCCACATGACTAGCTTATGCCCCGGAATAATTACACAGAAACTGTATTCTTTTAAACACTGCCTGGCCCATTAGTTCCAGCCTCTTATTGGCTAGCTCTTACATATTGATCTAACCCATTTCTAATATCCCTGTAACACCACGAGGTGTCTTACCAGGGAAGATCTTAACCTGCGTCTGTGTCCGGTAGGAGAATCATGGCGACTCCTTGACTCAGCTTCTTTCTGTCAGCATTCTGTTCTTTTTACTCCACCCACCTAAGGGTTGGCCTATCAAATGGGCCAAGGCAGTCTCTTTATTTAACCAATGAAATTAACACAAAACAGAAGACTCTTCCCCCATCAGCATATATTCCTAGACTTTTGAGCTTTCTTATGATTGCCACTTGTTGGTGGGATTCTGTTGTAGACATTGGTATTCTCCACTAAAATGAAGCCCTAGATGTATTTCAGGGACAGTGCTGTCTATTTCTTCAGCCACATGGCTGTCTAGGAGATTGTAAACCTCTGCTCTCCCAGTGGCGCTTTCCTTTGGTGAACGCATTGCTTGCCGTCTACCTAGAAGGAAGATGCTGAAAACTTCTCTTATGCAATAGTCCTTGATACTTCTAATATTTTTAGCAAGAGGAAACTTTGTATACCAGAACCTTCCACTGCCAGAAAACACAACGCCAGTAAGAGCCTGTGTAATGCTGATATCTGCCCAACAGACTTACTTCCTTTGGTAGGACATCTGCTTTTTATAGAAAGCTCAACCGACAGAAGCAAAAAGCTGTAGACGCAGAGCTTCACCCTCAAAGTTTAGAAGAAACGTTCTGTGCACTCGCCCATCTCTTTAAAGCAGCTGAGTGGGCTTCTGTGACTTCACTTTCTGTTAGCCATACTTTTTAAAAATGAGACCTTCTTCCAGACAAGTAGTGGATGTGACTTGCGCTGGAGGCACCTGCTTGGAATCTGGTCTGCTTAGCAGCAGTTTAAACACGCAGAGGTCGTGTAGGCAAGAGTGAAAACCATGTTAACTAAACTGAGCACCACATGGAACTCCCCATGTCCTGCTGCACTGGAGCTGGCTCTGAGCATCCACTGTGGGACAGCGGGGAATGGTGAGCGAAGCAGCCTTGCTCTACACTGGGCTTGAGCCTTCTTGGGGCACAGTTCACCTTTAGAAATTCATATCTAAAAGGCAAAGCTTTAAAACCAGAGATGGTTTGTTCTAATGATCCAAGTAGAACTTGGATTTTTTTCAGGCAAAGCCATTGACAAGCTCCGTTCATGGTGCCAGGGGCTGGTGATTTGATGATGATTTGTTAGGGCTCAGGGACCTTTGCATCTGATCTAATTTCAGGATCTGATGTTAGACTAAGAGAAATCCGGGAATGAATTTAACATTAAATTCAATATTTAATATGGATGGCCCATCAACAGGCTGGAGGCTGAGGGGACAGCTGCACTTCTTTTGTGCCTGTGTCCACGGCCTGCCACCTCAGCTCAGAAGCAAAGCCTTTTAAATGTTTTACTAAACACTGCCATTTGTGCAAAATAAAGTCCTGTGACAAGTTGTTTAAAAGGAAATAAAGTGCTTTCTTTACAGAAACAGTTGGTGATTCTTGGTGTGTCCTGAAATGGTTTGCCTTAAGAAAACCCTAAGCTGCATGACCTCCTGACAACTTCGTCCCCACCCGTGGTCCTTCGCTGACCCTGAACTTCACCTTCCTCTTTTCCTCCCTGGTTCTGTAGATCAGATACTGTTTATAAAGGCAGCAGTTAGCAGTCATGTTTCAGACCATATCTTCATCATGGCCCGTCAGGAGTCTGATCCTTGCAGAAGGGTCTATAAGCTGGTACTGTGGCCTAGTCAAAATATGTGTCCCAGAGAAGCCATTTCTGGTTGGTGTTGGGGGTGAAGCCAGATAAAGTTTAAGATGGAAAACTTAACTTTATATGACTTACTTAGGGCATGTTTATTGAAAGAACTCAGCCTTTTCTGCAGGCTTGTCATTAAATTAATATTTGTGTGTGGCTTTGATTTGTGTTTAGTTGTTTTCATGATTGTGCTATAATTATAAACAGTGGTTTAGATGGAATGAGAATAAATATGACTTCAGTCCCATTTTTCTTGTGGCCATTGGTCTTCAAAGTACTTGTGTTTTTGGATGACAGCCGCATGGTGATGTTAAAGAAGAAGGTGTGTGGCTGGGTTGCGGTTCTGCCGTTCTGTTGTCTCTCAGCCCACCCTCCACATCTTTCATGACAAAAGGACCAGAGTCTGCACTGCACTGCGGCTAGGTAGCTTCAGGACGATGCTGAATCAAGCACGCTCACTAGTCTACCAGTTCAGATGTCCTGAGCACCACCATCTTTCTCATTTTACTGTGCGCGTTTGTAGACTGTTTGAATTTGTCATAATAAAGATATGTTTTATAATGGGAAAAATTCCTAGCAGATGATTCTGTGTAAAAAAGTTCACAGAAGGGAACATTTGATCAATCTTTATAGAATCCTAAATATTAGAACATTCTTTGAATTCAGTCTAAGTTGCCAGGCCAAGCAGACAAAGCAGATGGATTACTTAGAAGCTGCAGTTGGGAGCATGGCTAGGCATTTTGATGAGGGGCTGGGTGGTCCTCGCTGGAGCTGTTATTAGCGTTTGGAGTTTCCGACATGCTCAGCAAGGTGCTTGGGCGTCCTAGATGCTCTGAACTCAGGATGGGCCGCTGTGCTGCGCTGCAGCTGTGTAGAGTACCTTTTAACTGTGTGTGCCATTGGGTAGGCTGGGCTCTGTCGGGCACTTGTCACTCATGCTGTGGTCATAGAACATAGGCTGCCCCTCCCTTCTTTTCTAGGTCCTCTCTGCTTTCTGTTTCCATCCAGTCTTCCACTTAACCAGCACCTCACAGTAAGTGATAAGGACACATCTTTCTTCACAAGTCCAGGCAGACAAACCCTCATCTTTTTTAAACTTTATTATACTAAAAATATATAAAATACACAGAACAGTAGTGCTCTAGACTGCTCCTTTGGATGACCCCACTGTGATAGACAGCTGCCTAACAACCCAGGAAAGATCAAGAACAATTTCCCGAGATAATCCCGCTGGCCTATACATTCTAGAAAGTAAACCAGATTCAGGTAGGTGTGTGGGTGGGTGGAGATAACCTTCATGGATCCTGGCACCAAAGACTTCCTTGAGGACAAGCACGTAGCTATTGGTACACAGCTGTCACAATGGTGTCAGTATCTGGAAGTCTGGAAGGATGTCAGCCACCTTCCGACGAAGTTGGTCTCGCCGTTCCTCTTTCACCCTTTCTTCTTTGGTAAATTTTACAAATGCCTTCCATGTCTGAAGCATGACACTGAGAAGCTTCCTTTAAGGAGAAAAGGGGAGAGGTGGAAATCAATGGGAATTCCAACAGTACAGAGTGCTATTAAAGGAGAGGTGGAAATCAATGGGAATTCCAACAGTACACAGTGTATTAAAGGAGGATGGACGGGGATAACTGTAATCAGTTGCCATTTGCACAGAGCCCCGTGCTGACAGTGCAGGCTTTGGGACCTCTTGGTTCATCTGCTCACAGCCTGTCACTGACCAACCTGGACCAGGAGTTGTGATGGGTGGGCAGACAGCCATCAAGGTAAACTCTATCCGGAAGAGCTAATTTAGGGCACTGAGGCCTAATTTAAAGCTTGCCTGGTAAGTGCACCCCCATCTACAACAGAAAGCATCTCTAATTCAGTTGAGAAAAAAATATGCTAAATACCAAGTATGGAAAGATGGTGATGGGGGCAGGCACATGCTGAAACAGTGCTGTCCTTGGGAAGCATGTTGCCTTTTGGGGACTGACCAGTGCCTACACCAGCTCTGCACTGGGCATGCTGGGGTGAGGCCTAATGCCTGCCCATTTAAGCAGCTAGCCTGTCAGAGTCAGCGCTGTGGGAAGGGACAGTGAGGGAGGAACACCCGAGGTGTTGAAAGGCACTGCCTCTGAACTGGAGAATGCAGGCCTTGAGGGAAGGCGAGGAGTCGCACAATTACAGTTGGAACACAGGCACAGGGTTGCGGCTGTTTGTAAACCTTGAGGCAGTGATATTTGCTCTGGTCTCTTGGCCAGCTAACGAAGCCCCAGAATGCACCTCAGTCATTAATTCTATGGCTGTTGGTTGACTGATGTTTTAGATAATGTTGGCTTTTGTTGGCAAAAAGATTACTTTTAAAACAAGGAGGTCCCGATGAGCAGAGCTGCTTCCCTGCATTCAGTGTCTACCCACTCAGCCCACCGGAGATTCCCGTGGTCGCCTCTAGGGCCCACCTCCCTCCTAACTATACTCCAGGATTTCTGACTCTTAGACTTTGGCTCTTCCTATTCTGCTCTCCGGAAATCTCTGCTTGCTCTAGGGAAATAAACAGAGCACAGAAATGGCTAGATATACTGAGCAGGCTGCTGGGCAGTGGGTGCCACCTGGGCAGAGCTGAATGGCGCCAAGGATGAGACTGTGCCCAAAAGCTGAGGTGAACTTTGCCTCTGAGGGGCAGAGTACGAGGTCAGTGGGGCAGAAACAGAGGAGCCAGAAACAAGGAACAAAGTGGGAGAGACACAGTCCTAGCAGGCGAGCTTCGTTTCCTGTTGACTGCAGAGTCTTCACACTCCAGACCCTGAAAAGGAGCACTGTCTTGCTGTCCTGTCTCACAGCTTACACATGGCAGTGACAAAGGAAAATGAGAGGGCAGATGTATAAAGAGCAGGGTGACTTAGAGCGAGAAAACCCTGTGCGGAGTCCAGGGAGCTGCCTGCTGTGTGTTATTTGTACATGCGGCGTACGCTGTTCCCCCGGGGTCATTACAGTGATCATAAGACATGGCCTGTGAAAACCCCAAATGAATTCTCAGGCCGAGAGAGACAACTGAGGCAGGATCCACATCCACAGGCACGGAACTTGGATCAACCCGCTGGGATTGGGCTGAGCCCTGCATTAATACATTACTGTTTCCTTGTTTGGTCCTCACAGCAGCCCTGAAGGCAAATTCTGTTCTTACTCATTTTAAAGGTTTTATTTATTTATCATGTGTTGTGTGTATGTATGTA